TTAAAATATTTTGGTGCATGTACATATTTTAAGTTGTATAGCATGTTTGAGCTGATTTTGATCGAAATTGATCTTTTTTATGATTTTGCTCTTTGTGGGAAACCCTGAGTTAGAATAATAAAAATAACAATTATTATTATTAATTATTGTAGGGAGAAATTTTTGAAGGAATACCTTATAGCAGGAAATTTTGGAGGGAGTTAAATTTGGCAAATTGCTAAAATTTAGTGATTGGCAAATTTTAATTTGGTGAATTAGTGCCCATGTGCCATTCAGCATGCGCATAATATTATGGCTCAAAATGGTGGATTTTTATTTTGGCGAATGGCTATCAAAACGCCAAATTTGCCAAATTTTATTTCCTCCAAAATTTCCTGGTATATGGCCCGGTAGAATTAGCAAATAACAAGTAACTGTTTCTGGAGGTTATCTTTACATTTCTCCCTCTCTCTTTTCTCCTTTCTATATTCCTGCTAATAGCAAACAGGTTATAATACTAGAAGCTCACTCATTCACTGAAAAACATTGTGTAGGATCTGCTTGCACTTTTATGTACTTCTACATATACACGTATGTAGAAAAAGTAAGTAATTATTGATATTAAAAATATGCACATACAATGTACCATACATGTACATGTACATTGTCTACATGCATTTATGTATAAATTTTGACTATTTTGTTTTGATGCTTTTCTCTTTTGTACATGTCATTACTTAGACTTTCTGGTAAATGTACATGTACAATGTACATTGATGCCCCTATGGCATATGCTACATGCACATGTATGTACGAAGTTTGAACTGGTTCCAGCAATAATTTTTTGTTTATGGTTGTCTTCATTTTTGCAATACAGTCAAACCTGCTATTGTGGACAGTCTAAAATAAGGACACCTCTATAATCAGGACAGGTAGTATCAGTCCCAATACAATATAAATGTGTATTAATGAACCTCTGAAATAAGGACACCTCTTTAATAAGGACAGTTTTATTGGGTCCCAAGGTGTCTGGAATAGACAGGTTTGACTGTATGTGCATGTACCAAAATTTTAATTTCCAATGAGGTGCTAAATTTTATTCCGTGATGTTGCTCACAAAGAATTTATTACACATTGTAAATTTGGTGAATAGTACCATTTTTAAAATGTACATGTACATAATACTGTAAATACATCATGGGCATTTTAAAATATTGATTCTAAGCAATGAGGACTGTAATGATGCATAGCCCTATTCTTCATAATTTGAAAGAAATTTTTGTAATTTTATTTACCTATATGAATGCACATGCACGTACGTGCTAGTTTGAAATTTATTTTGAAACAATTATTAAGTTATACCAGTAGCTGTAATGTGTCTAAACTAATTTTCGAAACTGATAAGTAAATATAGTTAATTTATAGCTATG